GGTATTCTATCTATTTATAAAAGTGGTATTCTATTCATTTTTCATAATTGAAGTCTTATTGAAAAAAAATTAAATGACTTTACAAGAAATGAATGTATCTTTTTATCGGTTGGTCGCCTTAATGGCTAAGAACTTGTCTTGGACGTGTTCCAAAAGATTCGTTTAGTGAGCGGCTATTGTGTTAAATTATTCTCTTTTAAAATGCTTGCATTTTTTGTCATTTTATAATTTAAAACAAAAAATTAAGTTAAAGATATAGATTGAGCAGAATCAAAAATTGTTTGATGTTCTAATTTATAAGAAAGCTGATGTCAATCTTTTAAACAAACTTTTATATTTTTATTTCGTTTGGAAAAACTTCTCATTAGCAGCAAACATTTACAAAAATAGATGTGACATCTAACTTTAATAAAATTTAAGACGAGAGTAATGATTTATAACTTAAAATTTTTAGATTCTCAGCGAATATATTGCTTTGCACAGCTAATTTAGCGTATGTTTTCCAAACATATCTGATTAGATCAATGAGATTATATGTTCTTTGTTCTTTGTAGAGACCACGCCGCATACCGAAACAATGCATGGAGAATAGTTCATACCATTTGCATTACAGCGCTTTCCTGAGTTTCAAAGTGTAAGAAAATTTTAAATTTAAATGGTACACCCTATGTATTCCGCCCTCCATTTACCGCATGCGGAAAGCTATATAAATAGCAAGAGGCTTACAGCACCGTTTTATCTTTTCGTGGAAATTTTCGTCAGAAATTTTTAATAGACATTATTTATTTGGAACTGTATTAAAATTCAATTATATTAGCTTCTTTGTGTATATTACAGTAGTTGCAATATTATTTAGACCAAAATATTTAGAATTAGCTTTGTTGATAAGTAGGTATACTACTATTTACAAAGGCTTTGAGTTTATTGATATGTCAGAAATTTGAAGAATAACAGAAATAACAAAAAATGGCACCTTGGAGAGTATTGAAGTTTTATTTTATTGAAAAAAATAATTTGGCTATATTTTTACAAATCAAGGAAATCTTTCTAAAATTCAGATCATACTAGACATATTGTAGAAGCTTTCAGTAAATCCAGCTTGCAACAAAGCAGGTTGTTTTACAACCGTTTGATAAATAGTAACGTAAAGTCTGAAACTTACGTTAAATTTATTGAATCTATAGATATTGTTAAGTAAATAGGGATTTATTTTTGAACGACGACCTGATTGGCGTAGTGGATAGTAAACCTGTCTCTCACACCAAAGGGTGTGGGTGTGGGTTCGATCGAACTTCACAATAAATATTGAGTGATAAATATAGTGTTTCAGGGTCTTAGTGTATTAATATATAACATGTTTTTGTTTACAAAAGTAAAAAGTAAACTTAATTCTATAAGTTTATCAGTTACCTATTGCCCATATTACAAGCTTTGCTTAGTTTGGGACTAGATAACGATGTGTAAAAAGGTGTCCTGAAATATATCTAATAATTATTACTTTAAAAACATAACATAATTAATCATACGCTGTTTCGGCACCTTTCAAGGAATATATGAAAATATATTCAATTTTTCGAGTTTGGAAGGGGTGTATATTATGAAGAATGTAGAGTTTCTTGTAACAGCCAGCGGTGGAGCACTCGCGCGGTAAACCTACCGTTGACGCTGGAAAAAGTATACTCGTTTTATTGTAAAACTGTATTTAAACGTTATTAATTATCTTTGTCAACTATGCCAGTGGTAAGTGATACTTGTACAGACAAGGTACTATAAATTAATCTTAACAAACATTTCAAATCAAAATTTAATTGGCCATTAAAGAAACTAAGCAGATGTTGGTCGCGCTCCCGTAACTATAAAAATTACCAAAGAACCATTAAATTTTCGGTCAAAAAGTGCAGAAAATAAACTAAGTGCAATAGTTAAGCAAACGAGTCTAAATTGCACTTAACCGCATTTTTCCGACACTAGTGACTCTTGAGGCGAATGTTTATTACATGAGCTGTACGCTTAATTAACTAAGTAAATGTATTTAAAACTAAAATAAATGGAAAAAGATTAATCTAAACAATTTAATATAAAAAATGTTTTGGGACATCTTTACAAAACTTACTACTTTATCGAAAACATTTTCTTTTTTTTAAGCGTAACATATTTTTTTTCTAGTAGCTGGCAACATTAAGTCACGTGGACTAACATAGTACTCGTTGAGTATTGTTAACCCAGACTTTTAACTAGAGAAGATAAAAAACACGCAGGATGTTTACCCGATGTTAATTGATTATGCATTGACATCCAGACCCCCGCAATAGCTGGTTTGTTGGCAATCTTTCAAAGAGGTTACCTCTCACCAGATATAATGCAAATGCAAAAATTCTGATTTTAAACACATAAATGCGAAAATAATTTTCATTGAAATTTGAAAATAAAAATTAAGGCAATAACATCCATAAAGTAGTTTACTCCTTAAAACACTCTTTTCAATCAAAACATAAAAAGCAGCTAAGGTTAGCTTTTTTAACGTTACGTAATAACCTCTTATGTCCCACTGATGCAAAAATCTCCTCTGTTTAAGGGCATAGTTAGTCAGTCAGGCGCGGAACTGAAGATCGGCAGATTTCACCATATTATTATCTTTCTTACTTCATCGCCTTAAATTTCTATATTAATACATACAGTGCAAAAAATTATTTAAGCATCTCAATACCATAGATTGGATTCCTTCTTTATAAACTCTCTTCTTTCTTGTGTATTTTTATGATTATATAAACAGATGGGCATTTTAAAATTACGTGAAAACTGAATTTCAGAATCGACATTACCCTAATAAACACATCAGAATGTAATGCTTAATGTAATAAATTTTTCAGGAAATCTTGCAGGTGCCGTAATGATGTTGCTTTAAAATCTATTATAATCAAATCCTCAGCATTTTGCAGTACGGAGAAATTCTGTATTTTAAACTTACGATCATCAGATGGGTATGTACATATAAAATGAAATGAATTTATGTAAAACTTTCAAAGTATACTTAACTAATAACTTATGATAAAAATAATAGTTTGTGTTTAACTAAACAAAGCGTAGTATTAAATTGTTGAAACAAATTGAGAAAAAATTTGGCTAAAAGAAAAACTAATTTTCCAACCATTCGTATATCAATAATAACCAACTCCGATGCCGCGTCTTGGATCCTTGGATTGGAACCACCCTATTGGATCTTTGTCCGGTATTGTTCATGAAACGGGCTGAAACAAACATCCGCGACGGAGATAACGAAAAGTGTATATACTAGTACTAGCTGCTGCCCGCGACTACGTCTGCATAGAATAGGCTGAAGGCATAACATTCAGACAGAAAGACAGATATAGATAAAAATATTTATATAAATTATAGCCTGTGTCTTATTCTGATGTATAAGCTATATTATTGTAAAGTTTCATTAAAATTCTATCAGTAGTATTTGTATGAGTAGTAGTGTAAGTAAGAGTAACAAACATCCATCCATACATACAAACTTTCGCGTTTATAATATTAGTAAGGATTTGTTAATTTAAAGTGTGGTTTATATTCACTAGAAATAATTACAATAAGATCATGATTTGCATTTCTTGCATTATTAATATTAACAAAATTAATTTGTTTAAGTCAACAAACAAACAAATTGTTTAGTAAATGTTATGACTGCAATAAATCCGCAAGAAAATGGATATAATAAAATTTAGGATCAATAACTAATTTCCGAATATCATTTAGAAATATAATACCTATCGATGCTTAAATAAATAATTATAATTTAAGTACTTATGTAAGTATCGTGACTCGAAGAAGTATGTTTTACTTTGTTAAAACGATCTTACTACTTGTGACAGTAGAAATAATATGCGAAGAACTTTTAAAAAATATTTAATATAAACAGGAAAGGCCGAAAAAAAATTATTATAAATCTCAACGCCTACTTTTCAATGAATAAACATATTATGTTTATATTCAAAAACGAATGAGAACAAAACGTTCAACAAGCTATCACACACACTTTGTTGGTTGCAGTAAAAACTGTCACAGACAGACATAAGCGCGCACACGAAGAACTAGCTAAAGCATCAGAGGTTCTTTTAAGTGCAACTCGACATTCTCTTTTATTTCCGACCCGGAAATTATTTCTACTGAAAGTGGAAACGTCTTAGTCTGCAACCGTGGAAAAGTGAATTTTCATTAGCATTATTTCTTATTATTGCATTTTCCTTTTTAAACACGAACAATTTTGATAGACTGTGTTTGTTACTATTATATTTATTGTTTTAAATTAAAAACTGTTACGAGAAAATTGACGAATGAGACTTAGATATCTCTAATAAGAATTATTTTTATTACAATTTCAAACAATAAAATGAATATATTCTTATAATTCACAAAAACAGTGCAATAAATACGCCTGAAATTAATACAACCTTGGATTGTGTCGGGTCACTTACAATTTAAATAATTTTAAGTAGGCTTGTTAATCAATCGAAAGTGGTGTGCGTAATCATTATTATAAAATTATAATTTCAATCCTCAATGTAGATATAAAAATGTATTTTATTTCTTTTATCTTTTGATAGTTTAAGTAACTTAATTGATACGGTAAAATATTATTTATCATATCTAATCCAACTTTATCCGTAATGAGGGTTATCTCAAATGAAAGCTTTTATCTGACTAGTCGATATATAAATATAATAATGGGTTTACAGTGTTTGTACAATAATGTGTTATTTTGTTCTAATTCTATGAAAATAAATCTTGGTTAGATTTATAATTAGTAGTTATAACCTACCTGGGGTACCTTTGGATTAAAAAATACTAGTTATTTTATTTAGCTAACTACTATAGCAAACCAAATTTATAATCAGAAAAGGTTAAGTTAGGTTGTGGTTTCCAAAATAAAAGTTATGTATATAAATCTACATAAGTCTACGAACTCATTAATATAAATTAAAAATACAATAAAATATTACCTATGACGTATAGCATCTTCATGCACTCGAACACGCCTTGTTGATTTCATTTTCACCTAAACATTTATTCCAATCAATGTTATGTTTTAATGAATTCAAATATGAACGTTTGCGGGAGGCGAGCTTTAAATAAAATGATAGTAAAGCTACGATTTAAAAAAAAAAAAAACTCATGGAGTGATTATTCTGTCTCTGAGAAATTCTATTAGCTGGTTGTAATATAACTTGTAAAGTAATTTTTTTACTCGTGTTTTTCAATAACTTGATCGCTAAGATTTACTTCGTCTTTAAGACTCTTACAAACATTTTTTCAACACGTGTGTTTAATTTGTGGTAAATGTATGGAAAATAAAATTGTAAAGTATGTTTTAATTAGCAGCCGTAATTTCCTTTTGGTGCGGCGGCGGGGCGCGACCGATGTTCTATCGACAACGAGTTCTGCCACCGTCATATTTACATCACGTAATACAATGCGATAAATCTGTTAAACCTAGCACTGACCACATAAAACAGTAAACTATTGAACCAAACAAAGGACATTCGGCGCATCATTAATCGAAGTCATCGTAGTCAATCACCCAATTTGTTATGGACGCAAAACACGAAGGTGGAAAACAATAAGTACATTATAGCACCGTTGAACTCATTAGGTTCGGGACGACCAGCGAGCCTGAACGTTACGCGCCGACATAAACAATGTCGTGAGTACAAAAAAAAATCGAAACACCAGACATTACTTACATACCTTGAATTTCACAGCCAATCTAAACAACTCAAAACTGACATCCATAAATATTTACATTCCGGCGTATGGAGTAGGAACGCGCGAGTTCGCGTGCGTTGGGGCGCACGGGCCGGGCGGACGGGCGGCCGTTGGCGGCGCGGGCGCGCGGGAGGCGCGCGGGCGGGCGCGTCGGCAGCGGGCCCCCAGCGCCGGCATACTACGGCGCGTGTGGCGCGGCGTCTGGCGCGGCGGCACTGCGGCGGCGCGCGGGGCGACTGACGCACGCCCGCCCAGCGCACCGCCTGCCATGCCTCCTGCCGCCCGCACACCTCCACTTCTAATTGCTGGCCACCTCGCAACATTCACGTCGCCACTAGCCGTGCCCGAGCCCCGAGTTATTTCCCGGACCCCCATTGTTAATTCAATATTTATTTTTAAGGCTATAGATATTTCGGTGTCTGAGCTCATTCCAGGTCTGCAGTTCCATAAAAAGTAACAAGCGCATAAATTTCATTTATGGAAAGATAGCGGATGCTCCTCCCGCGTATATGAGCGCTACGAAGAGTACGCTTTGTTTTTATTTAACCTTCGCTCGTATCGCGCGCGAAGATTGCTCTATATTGGATAGGGACTAGCTAAAGGATACTGCGAGGAAATACATCCATATCTATCTTGTGTAATCCCTACGTATAACAAAATTGATTATTCGATACAAAACCTCAAGGGATCGTGCCTTTTCTAGTCAATCTATGAAAGATATATGACTGTACCTTTTTTTTCGAAAGAAAAGCAGAGGTTTGTGTGGCCACATGCGTTTCTACTGTAAAAGATCCAGAGCAGATTCTCAGTAAGATTTTTATAAATCAATACTAAAATCAATTAGTCGTCGTTTAACTTTAACAAGTATAAAAAGCTCTAAATCAACCTTCAGAAATATTGATTTAAACTGCAATTTTTACTATGCATTTAAATATTTTTCTTTTTATTACACTTACATTTAATTTGGTAAAACCTTGGTTATAGTGAGACGAAAATGTGTTAAACATGTACAGGGTAAATAAATTATTGGTAAAAAAAACTTTTTATGCACAAGCTTTTATTTAATTGCCCTAAAATGAAGAAAATCAACTTTAAATTACATCAAACCAACCAATTTAGTACATATATTGCACAATTTATTAAATGATATAAAATATTGTCTCGAGATTTCCATATTTTATATATTTTCGAAATTTTCTACAAAAATATTTTCTTTCATAGAGAACTTATAAGTATGTCAAGCAAGACTAGTTAGTACACAGGTAAATTATTATCCGTCATATTGGAATTGAATGACGTCACAGCTTAGCGTGCAGTGTCGTCCAAAATAAGCGTGTATACCAAATTTTAGCTCAATCGGTTAAAGATAACTAATTTAAAATTCAGTTGGAAGATTTCACTCGAACAAAGATACATACATCGCAAATTAAATAAAACATTATAAAAAACGAGCTTACACCCTTGCATGCTATTGCATGGCTTGAAGTGGCAGATGACAAGCAAGGCTGAGAAGGTGTTCTAATCAATATTTCAAGAGATGGCTTTATAATAATATAATATAAACTAAATCTTAGACGACGAATAAGAGCTTTTAATTTATGACAATTAAGTGCTGAGTACATGCTAAAACTAATAATATCTTCTCGATTATTTTAGTCATGATAAAATGCACTTTAACGAATGAGAAAAAGAATTGAGAGAAGCTAAATGAAGCTTGATTGACAATAGTTAAATTATTGAAAGAATTGAATTGGTGACGGAAATGAAGTAAATGCAATAAAGGACTATTCAACACACTAACACTCCAATCTATATGGCTCCAAGGTAAGTATAATAAAAGCCCAAGAAAAAATTATATGGAAATTCACATCATCTGCTTAAATGTAAATATAAAAATCGAAACACAATCGGAATTTTGTGTTAACGGTGGTAGGGCAACGCAGCAGCGACGGCTGTTGCATGAATGGGCAGGGTCCTCCGGGTAAGTACCATGACCTCACAGAAGAACGGCGTAGAGGTATAATACTTTCGCGTTTCGTCTCGTGAGTGAGGTGGCCGGACCCCAATTTCCAAAAGGTTGTCAACGCATCAAGAACCCTCGGGTGTAGCTAATGTCCATCGGCGGCGGTATTCAGGTGAACCGTCTGCTCGCTTGGAAATTTTTCAAATAAAAAAAAACTTGAGCTTTTCACATTGTCAGATTTTTCCTGGCGTGCAATACTCCCACATTAGTACGAGAACATCCATTTTCCTTGCATGTGTGTTGGATTTAAACTGACTGATAAAATTTAATTAAACTTAAGTTTAAGGTCTTCTTACCTCCCAGCAACTTAAGTCAGTGGGTAAATAACAATAATTTTCAACACTGGAAGCGTTCTATTAAAAGGTGTCCGTTCCGCGGTGAACATAAATTTCTGTGATTAATTGACAACACTACAATCATGTCCCCGCAGTCCGCAGTGTGAGATTGATTCACTCCACCATAGTTTCTGTTTGGTACTAAATTATATCATAAGCCCGACGACTCGTCTGGTAACTCTTCACAAATACTTGGTAACAGCATATCATAGATATGTATGTTGCTGAATGAGATTTGTGGCAAGAAGGAACTTTTCATGAGTTAGCCAGAAATTACTTTAATAACAACACAGTAATGTTTAAAAAAAAAAACAAAAGTAATTCTTGCATAACGTTATAAGATCGCATGTGATTACATAGAATTAGAAGATATCTCTCTATATTCGAGCCTACGTGGCTTGGTAAGTTAAATAGTTTTTTTTCTTCTGCATTGTTTTTGCTTGTAACAGCTTCATACCATCTTGTATTTTTTTGCATTTTAAACTTCCTATCATATGCTAGACAAAAATTTCTTTTTTTTGTAACTTGAAAAGGGTTTTGGGCCACTTTAGTCGTTGGTTTGAAAAATAGTATTATATTTTTGGTAACTGTTTTAAAGCACGAGTTGGCTCTTGTAGAGAGGGCCTACAAGAGCCAACTCGTATAGAAAAATAAAATTTCTGATTTTACTCTTTTGTGGTTTTATCTTGAACTTGTACTTCAGCTTGTGGCAGTGGGACTACTTTTGCAAGCGGCGAGGTTTGATGACAGGTTTTAATTCATTTTTACTAATGCAGGCAAGTTTTTTGTCTAAATATTTTCAATTTGCAATTCGCCCTCCTGTAAAAATTGTTATAAAAAATTGCGTAGGTATAAGATATACGCGTACTCTTAAAATATGTATTTGTGATTGGCTTTGATGGGGAATCGCTCTGGCTGAGAGGCGTGGTTTCTTGCAGACTAAACTGTATAATAGTATTTTTTTCATATTTGTAGTTTTACCGAAAAAAAATTGTATCATAAATATTTAAGAAAATAAGGAGGGTAGTCCCAATTACAAATCTAATGAGTTAAAAAAACAAAAATATTTTTTAGAATTGTGTGTGGGGTATTTCTGATGTGCTTACATTCACTGAAAAGTTTTGAAAAGTGTTATCGTATTGTTTGAACGCAAATGTATCATTTCATTTTCTATCATTATATAATCGGTTGAAAAGTTTATCAAATTAAGATTTTTTATGCTTCGCTTTTGTATTTCCATGGTATGTAGGTACCAAAATTTTGTTTTTCGTATGAAAATATTTTTTTGAACTTAGTTCGTTCCGCTTTGGTCACTACGTAACAAATCTTGTTAAATGGGTTACAGCTAGTGATAAATTTTATTACTTGGTTATCACTAGACGATGCGGACAATTTGCGAAAAGGTTTTTTTTTGTTGAGACTCAAATTTTCAATAAAATAATACACATTGTATATTGTTATTGAAAGATGTTTTTTTTTGACAATGAAGTATCACTCTTAATTATTTTGAGAGAGATACTTAATTATAACGTAATCATTATAAAGTATCTACTTTCAATAGTACGATTTACATGTATATGTATATATTATGATATTTTCTAAGACATTATTACTTTTTTACTTCAAAAAATTGCAGCAGTCACATTTTTTCGATGAAATTGCTCACAGTGATAAAAATATGAATGTAAATCATAATACATGTGAAATACTTCATACTGATAACGTTATTCATATTTGCATTATTTGAGAACATTAACTATAGTAGCTTAGTTACCATAGAACAAAAAGCCACCCGACTTTTTAAAAAACTGATATTTTGCCGGAAATCGAGATAAACTATGTTTACCCTTTACCACAAGTATTTTAAGATAAAATTTCTTAAAATTTGTAGAAAAGTACGAAAAGATTGTCGCCGCTGTGGGAGTCGAACCCATGTCTTCGGCATTCGCGGCCTGACGCTCCACTGAGCTAAACGGCTGATTGCCACACCGACGAAAATCTTAACGCCCTTTACCTACATTGTTTTTCAGCATTTGAAGCAATGCTTGGCGCATCCAGTATACATTTTTTTCTACAAATTTTAATGTTCAATCTTAAGTGCACATATTAGCACTATAAAAAAATGTAAATTTTACATTGATTATTTATTTTCACATCTAATATATAAAATTGTCGTGTCACGGTGTTTGTAATTGAATTCCTCAAAAACGGCTCGACCGATTTTCGTGAAATTTTGTGTTCATATCGGCCAGGGTGGAAAATCGTACAACACCTATTTTTCATCACCCTAAGGGTGGTCCATCCTAAACATTTTTTTCTACCCTACTAATAATTTATATGGCAAAACAACGTTTGCTGGATCATCTAGTAGTCGTTTAGCCGATATTTCTTTATTCGAAATATATTATTTTTCAAGCTACGTTGAAATAACGTGTTTTATTAAAAATGGATCCCTGATATGTACGAGCGAACCTTCGATATACTTCACGGCACTCGATGCCTTCTGAGGCAATCGAGTGACACACAGGATGAGCCATTGTGAGCCTTAGGGGCCTTTACAGATACGCCGGACTTGAGGTGGCCGGCCGCTTGTGACGCCTAGCCTGAATCTCCGTTACGAGTTATGGTGACTAAGCTCGAGGACTACCGAGGGAGTCTAGGCACGGGCTGTCAGGCTATCATTACCGGCTTGGGAGGCCACCAAGTTCTTAGAGTGACGCTCCATAGAGTGTCTAGGCGCTAGGGCGCCCGAGAGGGTACCTCGGCTTGAGGTGTCAGTCAATACCCGTTCAACATACCGATTCGAGGGTGCCCGAGAGGGCCGGACCTCGGCTCGATCGGTAGCTATTATCTGACTGGACCTGCTTCAATCGACCGACTTCCCGCATATTTGTACAGGTCATCACTCCATCCAGTGGGGGTCGTCCTACAATACGATGGCCAGTACAAGGCTACCACTCGAAAATCTACCAAAATCTACCAGTACGAGGCTACCAATCGATAAATTTGTTATCGGC